AAATACTTCCAATCATTTTCATTAATCCGCAACATCTAGTATTAATGGGGAGACAAAAAATATCTCCATCTCCTCTTTTCAACCTTTCATACATTTATAAAAGTGGTATGATCAAAGAGAAAGAGAACACATTCTTTATGTAGTCCAACTGTACCAGATACTTATCCAAAGCTATTACACTTGCTATTCTTTGTTGTTGGGAGAGACAGAAACGACAGCATGTTTTTGCTATGCATGTCCTGGTAGAATCTGGAGACTGTAACACTATAAAGATTAGCTGATGGTGATTCTGACATCTGTAATTAAGTGTGTCTTTGACAGGAGCTAAAGTTATTGATACAACTCTGGAGGTTGTAGCATTATAGAGGGAAACAGCCTATAAAATTACAGCTTCTCTCAAGTTGGTGCATTTGTCATATGTATTTTTTAGGCATTACAATGTAAACATCAAAGTCTGAACTTATCTTCCTGAGACATGGTTGAACCAGCATTATTTCAGAGCAGTTTATCTTATTGTCAGGCCCTTTTCTCCTCCCCCAAATTAGCTTCCAGATGAATCTGGTGAATCTGAGCTGAAATGTAGCCCACATTTTCAATGGGTTGACTCCCTGTTTTGAAATGCTACTGAGAATGTGGCTGTCCACATGTCACAAGGCTCTTGCCAACAGTTTCCATAATACAACCAACCTAGCTGTTACAAGTCTCCTTTTCCTACCACCAGTCATCCAATATCTGATTCGTTAATACCAGCACTAGATATCAAACCCAAGCAGGCTTGAAGGTAACTAATCTCAAGGTAGGATTGTGGAAAAGCCCTTTGTGAGTTCCAAGCAGAGCAACTTGTTTACATTCTCCTGCCTTTTCCCCAAGGAGCTCAAGGCAGCATATAGCATTCTATCCTTTCCTCCTTGTCATCATTTTATTCAAAGAGAAACCCTGTGTGATAGTTTAGTTTATTGATCCAACATCATCCACTGAATAACATAAATCTAGGAATCTCTGTTCTTAATCCAGAGGTAAGCAGCCTTGTTTGTTTCTGTTTTGTTTAAGATTCCTAAAAATATTGTGAGAAATTAGTATGCTGCAAAGAAAAGTGAAAGCCTCAAATGCACCGGTGTAGCCTCTTTAAAAATTAAAAAAAATTGATGAGAGGTTGCAGCCCAGAGCTTTACTCATTAATGTCCCCACCTGCTCAAAAAATAAAAAAGTGGGGCAGTGGAGAATTTCCCAGGGACTAAAGGGGCAAGGACACTCTCATCAGTTTGCTTTTAATAAAGGAGAATTTTATGACCAGTCATGTCCTTCATAGCAGCTATTTCCTAAAGAGGCAAAGCCTCCTGTGCAGCCATTTTAACAGACCATCCATCACATGCTTTCCAAAATTCACCTACGTTAAAAGCCATCCCCCTCATTCTCTTCTCTGCCTTACTTCAAAATTCAACCATACTGGGTCACTTTTAGACCCTGAATGCCTTCACATGCAAGACTTAAATGTTATAGGTGTGCTGTGTAATATCTTGGAACACAGCCTAAATAGCAAATGAAAGAAGGCTGGTTTGAAGACCTCTAGTCCTCCTCCAAATTAGTTATTTTTGGAAATAAAGCAAGCTGCACCTGAAATATTGGACTTGCTTTGGATGGCATTGTTTAAAGGTATCTTTCTGGCAAACTGATAAATATCTAAGCCCAAGTTTTCCATAAAAAGAAAACACCAGACTGAGACAGGCTGTAGTTCTATAGTTTCCAACTGCTCACCAATCCCGGTGCTTCTAGGAGAAACACAGAAGAAAGATATCAGAAGTTATTGACAATGTTTTCCACATTGTGTTGCAATTTGCACTTCCTAGGAACAGGCAATGTTAAAAAATGTGATTTGTTGGTAGCTTTATCCCAATATCGACCAGGTTTCCAAGTATCTGTACCTGACATGGAAACTTATGAAGTACAAAAGGTTTCAATCAGGGATGGGCAAGATGTGACCATCCAGATGTTATTGAACACTAACTTCTACCAACCATTCTCCACTGAAGAGAAATGTAGTCCAGTAACATCTACAAGGCACTTTTTGGCCCTCTATAATCAAGACCATTACGTGTTCCAACTCTTATTTATTCTTCGTGGTTTTGCTCATACCTGTCTGAAGTGATAGAGCCACCACTGATGTCAGTGTAAGACTTGGAAGACCCTGATTCAATTTCCCAACTAAACATGGAACTCTATTGACTGATATTGGGCTACTGTGCTTCAAACAATTTCTTAACCTCATCTATCTCACAGGATTGTTGTGAAGATAAAATTGGAGGGGAAATTCTCCGTAGATGTCTTGAGCTCCTGGAAGAAAAGCTAGGTCTAAATAAATCAGACAAATAAAAAAAACATTTGATTTAAATTCAGACTTAAGTGTTTGCAGGTCTGGGTGTCTCTAGGAATAGTATTGGCACTATATTCTTTGCTGTGCCTGTGCATCTTGTGTCGGTGATTTTACAGTCAGCCACAGGGTAACAGTGGGCCATTTTGGTGCATCCTTCAAATCAGAACGTGCCATCCACTGCATCACTATTTCCCAGCCTTTGAAACAAGGCTCTTTAGAAGCAGAGACTACTCTCCTCCACTCTTCTGCTCCATCTCACCCATCAATTTCCCGTAAACTAGATTAATCATTTCTCCAGTTCTCAGGATTCTGAGAGAAATTCAACAGGAAAGCAGCTATAACTCCCTGATATTAACTATGTTTACTTATTTATTCCTTCGACCTATATAGCTGCCCAACTCATGATGATTCTGGGTGGTACACAAATTAAAATTAAAAACAACCATAAAAATAATACATGTCAAAAATAAACAAACAAACCAACCTGGCAAGCCAGGTCACTAATTCACATACTACACCTTCTAGAGTGGACTCACTCAACACTCTGGCTCAGTGGCCAGGTCTTCAGAACCTTACAAAAGGGCAACAGGGTTGGGGCCATCTGAATCTCAAGGGCCACGCTAGTCCACAGGGCAGATGCTGTTATATGTGTAGATCTGGTATATTTGTGGCTATAGATTTCTGTATTTACTTCCATGAAAGTTGTTTCCTGCTGCAGCTTGAGAGGCCTCGCTGTACTTGCTGTATTTTCCACTGAAGGGATGGAAAAAATGCAAAGAAAAGACTAAAGCTGCAATCCAAAGAACACCTATGTGGTAAATATACTGGAAACAGAGAAATTTCAATTAACTCTGCTTAGCTTCAGATAGCATTCGCTGAAGGTTGACTACAGCATATGTATTTGTGGCAGCAACCCTTCCCCCTTTTTGCACTTTATTCAGGAAGTTAAAACAACTCGACCAGTCAATCATAGCTATTGCTTGGTGTCACCTTGGTAGGTTACAAAGGCTTCCTCTGAATAAATATGTTTAGGAGGAATCAATGTAGCTATTATCAAAACTAAGCATCTCAGAAATGCTGTAACAAAATCCCAACAAGGAACCTGTTCAAACTGTCTAAAATGACTTGCTCTTCCCTTTCACATCCCAGCCCCTACTGTTTTAACACTTGCACCTCCCATAGTTCAGAGACCTGCTCTGAACCTTCTTTTATGGAGCTCTCATGAGCTAATCATACATAACTACAAGAAAGGACACTTTCCTCACATCTAGTTGTAGATACACACAAGGAAACAAACAAACAAAAACTGTCTATTCAAGGTTCTTCTCCAGCTCCTCATGTGGGGATGAAAACTTCACCTCCAAGCAACAACCTTAATGTTCTTTGTAAGCACATACAGCTAAATAAGAAGCAACTTAATCCATAGTCCTGTTACCTGCATTTAAGCAAATGTGGATGCTAATGTATACATTATTTTGCTTTTTGACTGCTTATTGAAAACTCTGCACAACATAATGCATTCTTTGCCAAGTAGACCTTCTTAGAGGATACTTGTGAAGACACTACTACTGTGAAATCTTTTAGCAGAAGTGTCCTATTGATTTTAGAGGGACATAGTTCCAAGTGTGCATCTTAGGGCTGTAGTCCAAGTAGGAGCGACAACTAGCTTATATCCATTTCCTTTTGTTTCCTGGCCGGATCAAGCAGCTGGTTGACTGAAATGCAGATGACTGACCCAATCCTATTCTCATACTGAGCTGTAGAAGATCCCCATGTGCAAATGAGCCAGTTCCCATAGCTTTTCATTTCATCCCCCTCTGGCTGCAAAGGGGTAGTTTGCTGCTAGTTTAAAATCAAGCCGGTTCTTTGAATCTGTACAAAAGTGCCCTAGTTCCTGCACTGCCCACAACAATTTCAAAAGCTAGGATTAACGGTTCTGGACTAAGACTGCAATAACATTCTCCATTCGAACAATCATCGACAGATACGTTCCCCTCCCGTCAACTTTAGCTAATCCAACTCTTCCCGCTTCATTCATCGACCACACAACTGGCACGGCAACGAGGGAGGATCACAACACGCCACCCGGCAACGTTGCTCTCGCCTTTCCCGACTGGTTGCTTAGCGATTGTCCTACGGACCTCGCCACCTCGCCCGGCAGCGCCCCGCTTCCCGGGAAGCGCCGAGGGCGTTTCTCCATCAGCCGCGGGCCGGCAGCCTGGCGCGCGCGGGAACAAACTCTCCCGACGCTTTGCCTGAAGCCCCCGCCCCGCAGGCAGAAAGGGCTGCTGCCCTCTCAGCCGAGCGCACTTCGCCTTCCCTCCTCAGGAAAACAGGATGCCCGTGAACAGGCACTCGCGAGGGCGAAGGGGAAGGCGGCGCAGGGGCCCGCGGCGGACCTCCCTTTTTTTGAGCGCCTTCTTCCCCACCTTTTTCGAAAGGGACTTGCACCCCCAGAAACGGTGGAGGGCTGGCGATCGGCTTCAGGAGACAGGCCGAACCGTCTCATCGGGTCTCTGGAAGGGGGAAGAAAGCCCAAAGGAGGCGGGGGGGGGAGGAGA